ATTTGTTGATCGTAGGAACAAACAATGCCAACATTTTCTCCTGGCATCTGGGTTGCACTTGTTAAGACAGAAATATTAAAAAAAACACATATTGAGTGCAAAATCATAAATTAATTTTTATAATAATCAAAAGTTTACATTTTGTTCTATTAGCTTGGCGGGAGCACCACCAGCACATTTTTATCTCTGTTATAGCCAATAGGGAAATTTGTCTGCCCAGTCCATGTGCATTGTGTACTGTAGAAGGCTGAACACCATCTCCTCCGTGGTGTCACGTGTGAGTACAAGAAAGACATGGGGGTACAGGGTCATTGTCTGTGTACTCCTAGAATGAAGGCTGTATTTCTTATTCTCAGAGTAAGTCAGGTGCATTCTTGTAGTGTGTTGGACTCCACCAAGGTTGTACCCAGTCATGTTTGTAAACTTATGACTGAAATCCTTGTGTGGAGTCAAAAAACTGTGGTTTGGTGACAGAAGGTTGCATCTTTGCTTTAAGCTAACTAAAGTTCCGGGTGACACCCTCTGAGTTGGGGCCAAGCTGCTACATCACGTAAAGATGCGCAGGTTTTTATGCATGATTGAGATACAGTGAATATGGCATGTAAGACTGACAGGCAGGGATACAGGGGTATACAAAGACTGTTTTCATGAGGAAGAAATTGTGCCCGAAGACAAAGTTCTTGATTTCCTAGTAGATCTGAATTTCATTCTTCCCCTACAGCCGTGAGTATTATGTTTTTGTGGAGGATCCAAACAGCTGAAATGAGCTTCCCTCCCTGTGTGGCTGGGCTCACCTTAAGACTTAAGTTTAGAAGCTCGGATAGCCAGGAAGAGTTGGAGTTAAACCACTGTTTCTTCACATTGAAAGGAGCCAGTTGAGGTCATTTAGGCGCCTGGTTAGGATATCCCCAGGATGCAACCCTGTGGATTTATTCTAGGAATATCCGACAGGGAGGAGATATACATACATATCTGAACATATTAAGCTGAACACCTCAGGATCCCCCAGGACGAGCTAGAGGATGTTGCTGAGGAGCAGAACGTCTGGACTGTCATTAGCTCGCTGCCACCACATTCTGAACAGAAACAGAGAGTGATTCTATTTGTGTCTATTTGTGTCAGCATGTAGAGCTCATTTTAGAAAAATAAAACATCCATTTAACAAGTGTTAGGCATGATAGCAGTCTTGATTATATTATCATCTGTCCTACAGATGCCCTGCTGCAATCCAATTACAAGCTTTGTAGGGATCCCTTTCAATCATGTTGAGTGCAGTACCAGGGCATGTCACTGTTGTGCATCTATAATTACACTAAAGATGCCTCTCTTATCTTTGATACAGAGTAAAAGCGAATAATCGATTAAACTATTGACAGAAAAATAATAAGTCAAAATACTAAATAAATAAAATAAATAAATTTTAAAGAGCATTTTTAACACCTTGGATATTTTATGGACAAAACAAATAAACGATTAATCAAGGAAATTATTGGTAGATTAATCAATATGAAATGAATCATCACTTGGGGGTCTAATTCAGATATTCAACCCATTGTAGAAGTTGAAAAAGTAGTTATGTATTTATGTCTTAATTGATTTGTATGATTATTCCTTTTACATGCTCACTGCAGCTGCACAAACCAACAAAAAAACAAATTATTAACACAAATAAAGTTTAAATTGTAGGTCCAGAACTTCACTTATACAGTTTGTGTCTGAGCTGTTGTATCATTCTGCTCTATCTAAATGGATCACCCTCACCACCACCCATCTCTGCAAGCATATCAGTCACACTGTATGGTGACTCAGTGAGTTCATAACCTGGAATCTCCAGCAAACATGGCCTGGTTGAGTCACAGATGTGACCTATCTACCTCATCTCCACTGCGACTCAGATGTCGCCTGGAAGTGTTCAGAAAAGAACATGTTTTCATGCAGCTCCACTTTTTTCTTTCTTAATTTTTTCTCTCTCGTATTCATTACTTTTCCTTAATTTCACCCAGAAACTTAACATAATGAGCATTTATTACTCCAAAGACACAACAAAGACAGAATAAAAAGCTTATCAAATCCCCTAATCCTTCGTATATACAGTTACATTCACATATGAATTCCACACTACAGAGACAGGAGCCGCACTGGCAAACTTAAACCAGGTGCGTAAACATAGCACAGGGCAGGGAAGTGCTTGAGACACCTCACATGTAGATAATGATAAATTACATCAAATGAAGTCACAGTCCAGCCAGAACATGATGTCACCATATCCAGTGAACATCAGGGGAAGGTGCACAAGAAAAGTGGCAAAGTGTTCTATTGGGTCAGTGATTCCATTTAAAGAGTGGTCATTTCAGCAGAAGTATGGAAAGAAGGAGGGATGAGTAAATGATCCAGGTGGACACAAAGGTTCGACTGATTTACTGTTTAGCCAACGTGGTTGCCTATACTCATCATATTTTGAAGCTTGAAAAGCAATCAGAGGAAGCCTTTTGCTTTTGGAGAAATGCTACAGTCATGCTGCTGTGGCCAATCAGGTGACTGGTGAACGACTGAAAAAGATGCCCACATACCACAGGAACAACTAGTACAGTCTCATTCTCTTGTTAAATGTTACTGTGACTAAAAAAAAATTAGTATGACAGCTCATTATATTATTATATTATTAACAGCTTATGTGTAGTATTCTACAAAGAAAAGCACTTGCTTTGTTTGTGTGTGTATGCATGTCTTTTTGTGTCAGTAAAATTACTACAGTAATGATAAATTTTACTTATATTTTAAGCCAACATAAACACACTAACTGAAGACAAATAGGCATACTTACTGTGATAGCGAGACTAGATTTATCTCCATCCCCCACTCCCCCACAAATGGGCTATTTTACACTCCCACATGACACTGCGGCCAATTGCTGCAACGCCTGATTTGGTATACCAAATCATTCATATATGAATGCAGCCTTAAGCGAGATTTATACTTCTGTGTCAAATTGGCATAGAGCCTATGCCGTAACCTATGCCATGGCCTGCCATGCACCTCCTCATAAATGTAACTACAGGTTACGGTGGGGCAGACCTATTGTCTTTTTTTGTAAGCTGAAAACCATTGAAAACCTCAAGGAAACTAAGCTGTTATTTACTTCTATTTCAAAAATAATAAACAATAAATTGTGAATACTATAAAGCTCCCACAAGATAGTATTTTCAGACTTGTGTGTGATTTATCCTTGCTTCATATGGGTAGAGCAAATCTCCACTAGTCTCTAAGCTAATTTGTACAATTTAAAATGCCATAGGCTCATGCTAATAACATTAGCATGTTGTATTTGTGGATAAAATGTGTCCAGCAAAGGGCAAGTGCTTTGTCTGTGAATGCTGCAAGTTATAGTGAAGCCAATTTGTGGACTTGTGTTTGAAACTGATGCTATTAAGCCATGTTTAATGAGTGTTTTGGGTGTGTTTTGAGGAGGAGGTGTAACTGCAGAGGGACACAGACACACCACGGCACAAGTATAAATGCTCACATCGGCGTAGGGCACATGCATAGGCTATGGCAAAGGCTCAGCATAGAGCTGACACACAAGTATAAATCTGCCTATAATCTTTCATGAGTGCTTCTGTATTTCTTGATCAATGTTATTACCTGGGTTGGCTCATCCAGAGCTGATTTTCATGATATCAGATGAATCCACCGCTGTGTATGAACGTATTTGTAGAAGCAGCACTTGATGGTGCACTTATTTTTAAAACCCTGCCCACTTTCTCACCTTTGCACACCTGGTTGGTCACTGCTTAAGTGACAAAGCCCTGTGGTG